GAACAAATTCACGCCTACGAACGGAACAACTTAGGGCTACGAAAATGTCGTGTTGACAGACTGAAACAAGCACATGATGGGCATTTACTGAAAGGTCCACTTCGGCATTCCTCCCGGGAGGCTGGCTGCCAGCAGCACCGGGCTACGTACATGGCTGTCACTGCACAGGCTCGAGAAGGAGAAGGGGGCGTCAGTCCTGGGTCTGGCCACGCTCCGTGGGCCTCTGTCAAAATGGCTGGAGAGACGCTACCTCTGAGCACGTTCCCGGAGAAACCTCCGTCTGCTTCCTGAGAGGGCGAGCCAGGCTGAGCACCTTCCGGAGAGGGCAGTTTGCCGGACAAGCCATCATCACCTATTTGTGCTGTAGGAAAAGCAGGACCTTGAGAGAGGAGAGGCCAGGACAGGGAAGTTCTGACAGGGTTAGGGACATCGAATTCTGGGGGCTTCCCAGTCTGGGGGTGACTCGCTGCTGGGCTGTGGGTCACGACTGCCAGCGAACGTTCACTGCGTGTGCACTGGGCCTCCCGGCCCTGCACTGTGTGGATCAGCCCAGAGAACCGCCAGACCCTGCCGGGCAGGTACTTTTTCTCCCCTTTAGTTTTATAGATGGAGACACCGAGACACAGCAAAGCCACAGAGCCAGCAAATGGGGGAGCTCCAGAGCCTGAAGCCTTTTGCTCCCTCTCCCTACACCGCCGGGCCCCCAGGGCAGAGAAGGGGGGCAGGACTCCTCCAATGCCCTCTCTCTGCCCAGCACCCAGCACCCAGCACCCAGCACCAGCAGGTGACACAGCACTGAACTGAACAATGGCACGCAGAGCGCTGTCATTTTCTTACCCCCAGTTCTTCACGGAGCTCACCTGCTCCCCCCCAAACCTGGCCCTTACCCCTGCTCAGCACCCCATTTTCTCTGAGTACGAACAGAGACTCCCTGATTTGCCTGACGTTGGACCCTTCACCTTTGGCCCGCAGCCATCCTGGGCTCTGCCTCCTCTTGTACACAAAGCCTTTGTCTTCTTATGAAAATGACCAGGTTCTGCCCATAAAAGTATCCAGCCTACAAGGGAGGTGGAGAGACAACACTTCATGGACAATTATAGAAACGTATTTCTTTGTATTTGAATAATTCCAGGACCTCGCTTTGGCAGCAAACCAGCTCTGGCTTGGACCCCGGCATCCTTAGCCTTTTTGTGCCATGAACCTTTTCGATACCTGATGAAGCCTGTGAACTTCTCAGAATTTATTTTTTAAGTGCACAAAACAAAATACATAGAAGCACGATGGAAATAAATTATATTTAAAAAGGTTTATCAAAATATGTGTGATGTAGTAACACGATGTGCGTCTTTATTGGCAGTTAAATAACAAGATCCAGCATTGGGTCTAATTACCATAATTTTAATGAGCAAAATGATATCTCCAAGATATCTGTACCCGCTGTGATGTAATATGAAGATATTTGTGATTTCTGTGGATGACAAAGTCACAGGTGCTGCTAACACTGGTGGGGTTTGTTCCCAGCATTCACCACAAAAGGAAAGGCTGAATTTCAGTTCAAAGTTGGGGAAAAATAAAGATGTAATCTCCCTCATCGTCCATCTGTCCCTTCTTAGAGAGTTATAGTCTTTGTCCACTTGGGCCTGAGATTTCTGATCTGACCCTATAGTATCCCTGACGTACAGTACGCAAGCGATGATGGGTCCCTTCTGACGTCCCACCGTCAGGGCTGGAAATTAGTCGTTTATCAAAGTGGTGTTCCCGGTGCAGACGCTCCAAGAACACTTCCTGGGTGCCTGTGCACTTGTTCTTGCACGGAGAGCGTTACTTGCGGCATTTCACCCCATCCCCGCGAGGTGAATACTGTCAGCCTTGCACAGATGTGGAAAGCACAGCTCATGATGGGGAATGAGCTGCCCAGGTCGAGGTCCAGGTCTGCCTCGGCCTTGCCATCCACTAAACCCCGTGTATCACACGCCCACCCCCAGACATTTTCATTTCGATTTGAGATGGCCCATGATGAAGCTGTAGTGACAATAGTTACCAACAGGGGCAGACCCTCTGTACATCATCACCATCATCATCGTCACCATCATCATCGTCAAAGTCACTTATGTTGTTCCAAACGCTATTCCAAGAGCTTAACTCACATCACCTTCCTAACAACAGGCCATGTGGCCACGTCATTGTCCCCATTGCAAGGATGCAGACCATGAAGCCAACAAAACGAAAGCTGCGTTTAAAAGAAAATACCAAGAGTCCTCCTTAAATTACAGGTTCGTTACAACAGGTGAGTCACATTCTCCAAGCCCACTTTGTATAATATGGGGCAACCGGCTACCCAACGGAGCCATGAAACCTTCAAAACTGCTTCGCCACATGGAGACCAAGCACCCTGCATTAAAAGAAAAGCCTGTAGAGTTTTTCAAAAGAAAAAAAAAATGTGAACACGAAGAACAGAAGCAATTATTGAAGGGAATCACTTCATCGGATGTGTCTGCGCTGAGAGCATCATTCCTAGTGGCTACCTCATCCCTAAAGCTAAGAAGCCTTCACTGTTGGGGAAGAGTTGGTCCTGCCTGCTGCTAAGGACATTCGCAGTGAACTTTTCAGAGAGGCTGCAGTTCAAAAGGTGGCACGTGTTCTTTCGGCTGGCCCCATAACTAGACGAAGATGAAACAGCAGAGGACACTGAGGCACAATTGGTAGAGAGGATTAATGAGTCACCGTGGTTCATGATCCAGGTTGACGAGTCTACCGATGTTGCCAACGAGGCAACAATGCTTGTTTTTGTGGGATACGTTTTTCAGGAGATGTGCGTGAGGATGTGTTCTGTGCACTTTTGTTGCAACCCACACTGCAGCTGCAAACTATTCAGGTCTTTGAGTGGTTACATATCAGGAAAACTGAATTGGTCACTTTGTGTCGTATATGCACTGACAGAGCGGCTGGCATGACTGGCCGGCTTTCTGGTTTCACTATTGAGGTCAAGGAGGTCGTTTCTGAATGTGAGTCTACTACGCACTGTGTCATCCATAGAGAGATGCTGGCTAGCCGACAAATGTCACCTGAACTAAACGACGTTTTGCAGGATGTGATTAAAATTACCAACCACTTTAAAGTACATGCCCTTAACTCACGTCTGTTCACACAGCTCTGGGAGGAGATGGACGCAGAGCACACACGTCTTCTCTTATACTCAGAAGGGAGGTGACTTTCCAAAGGTCGATCACTGGCCAGAGTTTTCGAGTTACGAGAGCCACTCCAGAGATTTCTTTTAGAAAGACAGTCACCACCGGCAGCACATTTCAGTGACACAGAATGGGTCGCAAACTTGCTTACTTGTGTGACACATTCAACCTGCTCAACCAACCCAATCTGTCACTTTAGCGGGGAACAACAACTGTGTTCAAGTCGGCAGACAAAGTGGCTGCATCAAAGCCAGACTGGAATTATGGGGGGTGATGATTGAACACTGGGATTTTTGACATGTTTCCAACATTAGAGATTTTGAAAGAGGCTGAGCCGGGGCCTTCTTTTTCCCAGCTGGTACATGGCCACCACCTGTCTCAGCTTTCAAAAGAGTTTGAGCATCACTTCCCAACCACAAAAGACCCCCAAACTGGGAAGGAATGCATCCTCGACCCATCTATGAATAAGCCAGGTGAATCGACCTTGTCCGTGCTAGAAGAGGGTCTACTGCTTGAGATCGCAAATGACGGTGGCCTTAAAAGTGTGTTTGGGACAACTTCAAACCTCTGTATGTTCTGGATTAAAGTCAGGGCAGACTATCCTGAGATTGCCACAAAAGCACTGAAGAGCCTGCTTCCATTTCCAACATCCTGTCTCTGTGAAGCAGGGTTTTCTGCAGTGACAGCCACCAAAACGAGATTACGGAGTAGACTGGACGTAAGCAACACACTTCGGGTGTCACTGTCCCCATCACCCCCACATGGGACCGTCTAGTTGGAGGAAAACAAGCTCAGGGCTCCCACTGACTCTGCGTTATGGTGAGCTGTGCAATTATTTCCTTATATATCGCAATGTAATAATAGAAATAAAGCGCACGATAAATGGTATGCGCTTGATCATCCTGAAACCATCCCTCCACCCCTCGGTCTGTGGAAAAATTGTCTTCCATGAAACCGGTCCCTGGTGCCGAAAAGGCTGGGGACGGCTGTTCTGGAGACCCATCTACTCCAGAGCTCCCCCTCCGATGCCACCACGTGAACCTCTGGTTGTTCTTTGGAATCCGCGGCAAAGTCCTACCTGTAGTCTTGCTTTCCCCTCTGCTCATAGCATCTGTGCCCCCAGGCCCCTGCTTGGCTTCCCCTTCCATTGTTCTGAGTCCCTCCTGGGCAAGGCTGACCCCAACCCCGACCCTCTATCTGAGTAATGCCGCCTCTGTGCTGTCTTCCTCCTCTCCCTTTTTCTTGGAGTGTTTATTGCAGTGGATGCTCTAGTCCACACCTGTATTTGTTTATTGTCTGTCTCCCTCCCCTAGCATGTGTGTACCCTGGGGGCAAAGTTCACTGCTTTACGCCCAGGGCCCAGATTTACACGGCCTATGGCAGGCACGAAATACCTCTTGAGTGTCAGGGGGTATCAATCAGCACAGAACTTGTCCACCAAAGTACGAATAGCCTCCATGAGGGACGGATGCGTGGAATTAAAATCCGCCGCTTTGTTGACAGGGGCAGTGGTGGGGACGTTAGCCAGGGTCTGGTCTTAGCTGTGACAAAGATGGGGGTTGGAGGGAAAGAGGCCAAACCCAGTGAGGCAGCTCATGTGCGGTGGGAAGCCAGGGAGGACCTTCCCTACCCTCCAGGCCGCTGTGGGGACCCTGCCCACAACGTCTCCGGCCAGCCCAGGCGCCCCGCCCAGAGGTGACAGCCAGGCCGCTGTGGGCCACAGGCAGCTGGGGGGGGGCACGGGCTTAGGCAAATGAGCCGGAGGACACACATATAGAGGCCGGCCGGGCTCTCCACCTCAGTGCTTGTGGGATGGAGGGCAGCCTACAGCCACTCAGCCTGGGGAGGGGGCCCGCGCGGGTGGGGCACAGCCACGCCCTGGCGGAGCTCCAGGAGCTGGCCTTGACGTGGTTCACGGAGACGCAGGCCCCCTGCATCCTGCAGAATGGCGCATTGCCTGCCTGGTTTCACGGATTCATCACCCGCAAGTAAGGCTGCCCCTGTCCACGTGCCCTGCGTGGCCCGTGGCCCCTTGGGGTTGAGAAAATGGCCTGGGGACTGTAAGTCTGACTGATTCCTGTGCTTTCCCTGAGCCAAGCAGGGCCCCCGGGAGGTGGTGGGTGGGGAACAGGCTGAGGAGCGCTGTGTCCTCCGGTGGTGGCTCCTGCAGGGTGGGCTGGTGGGGGAGGGCAACGGCCCCACTCTGATGCCAGCCATGGGTGGGGGGCTGCAGCCCGCCGGAGGACGGAAAGAGGGCTCGGCCCTGACCTGATGCGTAACCTGGGCACTGTACCATTTGTCGTGCAAGCTGGAACACTGCTAACAACTAAAGGCTGTCCCGGGCGAACCTGGGCGGACAGTTATCCTAGGAATAACGGCCAAGACACGGGATCAGCTTTCTGACCGGGCTGGATCCCCGAGCTGCCAGAGCGCTAGATGAAGGAATGACAGATCCGGCCAGTGGTCACGCCCGGGCACAGCACCTGCTTAGGGCCAGGGCCGGCTCCGTGAGCGTCACGTGCGCAACTGCGCAGGCCCTGCGTTCAGAAGGGCCTCACGCTGGCCTCACTCTGCGATCTCCGCCTTGGAATTCTCGACAATTTCTGAACAAGGGGCCCGTGTTTTTGTTCAGCACCAGGCCCTGCCCATTACGTAACTGGTCTTGCATACAGCGAGCACTCAGTAGGTATTTGGCAAGTCAGTTGGTGAGGGAACAGGTATCTGCTGTGTGTACTGCCAAACCAGAAGACAGCTGGAACTTTCCAACATGCCTCCAACATACTTGGCACCATGTAGAAACACCCACAGCTGCCTGCGGTTGGAAGGGACCTGGAGTGGGTCCCCGCGAGCTGCTGCTGTGACCAGGCTTCAGACACGACGGCGTCTCCTCCCTGCAGAAATCCTGTTTAGCGCAGACTCTGCACAGTGGTCCTGAGGGAAGGGCCCCCACCAAAAATCTCCAGCTGTGTGGATTTGCCACACAGCCGTTGGATGGAGAGTAGGTGGCCAGGGCTGGGGGCTGGTGTGCCTGCTGGTGAGGCTGAGGTGGGGAGTGGGGTGCTCGTGGCCTTAGGACCCCAGCTCAGCCCCAGACTGAGTCTTGAACTTGTCCATCTGGGCCTGGACCACAGACCAAGCCCTGACAGGCCACAGACGCAGCCGAGGGCTGTGCGAGTCTTCTAGAAAGGGCTGGAGGTCTGGGACCCCCGGGCACGGCCTGCAGAGATCCCGGGGCAGCCTCAGTCCACTCCTGCTGCAGATTGGGCTCAGGGCCCGGCTAACGGCACGTCCTGTGCCCAGGCAGACAGAGCAGCTACTCAGGGACAAAGCTCTTGGTCCCTTCCTCATCCGCCTCAGTGACCGGGCCATTGGCTACATCCTGTCCTACAGGTAAGAGGGCCATTGGCTACATCCTGTCCTACAGGTAAGAGGGCCATTGGCTACATCTTGTCCTACAGGTAAGAGGGGAGCCCTCTGCGAGGGGGCAAGCGGGCTCAGGCTCACATGGCCCAGCCGTGCAGATTAGCTAGAGCTCCCCCAGCCCGCCGCCGGCTTTCCCTGGGCCCCGGCGCCCTCCCTGCCACATTCATCTACCACGCGCTCAGCAGACACGTCCCGAGGGGCACTGCCACACGCCAGAGATGAAGCCACAGCCTTCACGGGTGCGTGGGGCCAGGGGAGAACATCCTCCCAATAGCAGGCCGGGGAAGACTTCACAGAGGAGAACTTTGAGCCCAGGATGGAAGGAAGAATATAATTTTCTAGGCAGAAAGGAGGGCGTGTTGGAGGTTAGGAGGCACTCCGGGTAGACGGAACTGCACGTGGAAAGTACAGTGGCAGGGAAGGCAGGGGCTGGGGTGGCTGTGAGTCGCCGGGTGAAGCAGGTGGGTGGTTCCTATGGAGGGATGGAGGGCGGGGCAGGTCGGGACGGCCTCGGCTGTCCATGGACCATGACGGGCGATCTGGGCAGACTTACATTCTGCAAGATCCTTCAGGGAGCCTAGGGACAGAGGACTGGGAGTCAGAGGCTGGAGGTGTGGGGCAGTGGGGATAGAGAGGAGACAAGGTGAGCACGACCAAGGCAGAGGTGATGTCAGATCCCATCGGGAGAGCAGGTAGGTGGGGAAGGCAGAGGAAGGGAGACGGCCCCCTAAGTGGGGAGGGAGCCCAGGGCTCCAGACCAAACTTCAAAGGCTTCAGATTCTGACCCAGAATCGTCTCCTACTCAGACTGTTCCATTTCAGATGTTGACCTTGAGCAAGTTACTTTGTTTCTCTGTTCCTTCATTTTCTCATCTGTAAAATGGGAATATTATAGTACCTACTTCATAGGATTATTGAAAGGAATTCAAACAATGTTCATAGGAATGTATCAGTTGATATATTTTAAAGTGCTTGGCACACAAGGACCAAATAAATGTTGGTCATTGTTAAAATATTTTTGATCTATGGGCCAGACAGTGTGCTAGGCACTTTGAAATATACTAACTCAGCAGTTTTCAAATATCTTTTCAGCTTCAGGGTTTGGGGGATGTTTTTTGTTTGTTTGTTTTTTGGTTTTGTTTTGTTTTTTCCCAGACGAGATCTTATAAGCAGAATGCCAACCTATAGAAGAGACCAAACTGGGGCTGCTGAAAGATATACAAAAAGACAGGTGGAACAGAATAGAGTCCAAAAACAGTCCCACATGTTTGGTGTCTGATTTACTGCAGAGGCAGCACTGCAGTTCCGTGGGGGACAGGACTGGTTTTTCAATAATTGGTGTGGGAGTAATCGGATCTCCAACTGGAAAAAAATGACCACTACCTCACACCACACACAAAAATGAATTAATTCCAGATGGATCATAGATCCGAGAGAGAAAAGCAAAACAAAACCATTTCCAGACGAAAACAGAAAAACATTTTTGTAGGTAAATGAAGGTGCCTTTGAAAATGGAATAGGTAAAGGTTGCTTAAACAGAACATAAAAAGCACCAATCATGAAAGAAAAGATTGATAGATCTGATTTCCTTAAAATAAAAAATTTTTGTTAATCCCAAAATAACATTAACACGCCTGTAATCCCAGTACTTTGGGAGTTGGAGGCAGGAGGATTGCTTGAGGCCAGGAGTTTGAGAATAGCCCGCATGAGAACAACACCCCATATCTATAGAAAATAGAAAATTCACCAGATGTGGCGGCACACACCTGTAGTCACAGCCATTTGGGAGGCTGAGGCAGGAGGATCACTTGAGCCCAGGAGACTGAGGTTACAGTGAGCTATGACGACACCACTGCACTGCAGCCCAGATTATAGAGTATGACCTTGTCTCACCAAAAAAAAAAAAAAAAAAAAAGACACCATTAAGAGAAGGAGAGGTCAAGGGGTCAAGGCACAGTCTTAGAGAAGTTGTATACAGCTATACATATATCTCACAGAAGATTTGTGTCCGGAATATATGAAGAACTCCTGCAAATAAATATGACAAAACAGTTCAATAAGTAAAAGCAAAAGACTTGAGCAGGCACTTCACCAAAAAGAAATATTCAAAACACCCGTAAGCACGTGAAAATGTGTTCAGCATCGTTAGTTATCACAGAAACACAAACTAAAGCCACGATGAATGGCTAAAATGGAAACACAGATGACACCAAATATTTGTTAAGGATGTGGAGCAACTGTAGCTCTCACACATTGCAACAATTTTAGGAAACACTTTGGCATAATCTACTGACACAAAACAGAGGTGCACCCCTGACCCACCACTTCTACTCCTGGTATATTCTCACCGGGAATGAGTACATATCGTCACCAAAAGACACGTGCAAGGATGTTCACAGCAGCTTTGTAACAGCTCAAATCCAGACATAACCTAAATGTCCATCAACAGGGTAAAATGTAGATTTTTCATTAAATGGAATACTACCTATAAATGGGAAAAGGTGAAACTAATTATCCGTGGACATGACTCAAAGATGTGGCGTTGAGTCGAACAAGCTGGACACAAAGGAGAAACAGTCCACGGCTTCATTGACATCAAGTTCCCTCACGGGCAAAAGCGATCTACGGTGACAGGGACAAGAACGGTGGGTCCCTTTGCGGGGTATGGACGGGAAGGGGGCACAGGGTGGTCCTCTGGGGGCTGGAGAGGTTTCGCACCTTGATCTCAGTGGGGGCTACACGGAAGGGTTCATACGTGGGAACTCATCAGCTCGCACGTCTGTGGCGTGTGCACTTCCCCGCGTATAAGTTATTCTCGTAGAAAAAGGAAAATGAAAGGGTGGGACCTTACAGGCTGAAGTGGGGGTGGGAGCTGGAGCTCCATCGTTTCAGCAGCCTGGCGATTAGGGTGAGGCTGCTGTAAAGGTGCAGGGTTGAATCCTATTTTTATTTAAAACGTCGATATTTTGTTCATCATGGGTTTTTTGCATTCATCTTGATTTTCTGAAATACCACATTAGTCGTCTTGATGCCTTTTTGGTGCCCCTTTAAATCTCACGCCCAAGAGCAGTGCCTCACGAGCCTCACCCTAGTCCCGGCCCAGCCCTCCCTGACTCCACCGGAGCAGGCTTAGGAGCTGCCCACAACCTCAGGTCCCTTGGTTTGAAAACCTCTCCCCGAGCTTCCTGAGGAACACGCCACGGCTCCAAGGGGGACAGGGTGGCCCCACTGGACCTGGAGCTGAGACCCCTTTCTATACCCAGGCACAGAGCCTGGACCCCGGGCCACGGCTGGGCTGCCTGTGACCAGCAGCTCCAGACCACAAGCGCTTGTGTTGCAGGGGCCGTGGTCGCTGCCGGCATTTTGTCATCCACCAGCTCCCCAACCGGCGCTACTTCATCTCAGGGGACACACACACCCACGGCTCTCTGGCCGAGCTCGTGTGCCACTACCAGGAGGTGCAGCTTGAGCCCTTTGGGGAGACGCTGGCTGCTGCCTGCCCCCGGGTAGGCACCTCCTTCCCCAGGGTGAGGGTGTCCACCCTCGCGCACATGCCTTTTCTTGCCTTCCCTATTTACTATGACCCCGGGGCACTCGGTGGGGGGGTCACAGTCCCTATTTGAAAGGGGAAGCTGGCAGCATCTTACCCGAGGTCAGGGACCTGCTGGGAATGTTTCAGTCCCTTGCCCGCAGCCTCTGGCAGGCAGCTGAGGCCGTCCGGGGCTGTACGACCACATGCCTGCTCTGTTCCCACTGCCCCAGCCAGAGGACGATGATCTGTATGATGCCATCACACTGGGCTTCCACCAGACCAGCCTGGGCCCGGAAAACCCACCTGCGGGGGCCTCGGACAAGGCCGCCAGCCCCCGCGCCTCTCCAAAGCCGCAGCTCTCCTTCCTCCACGCGCAGAAGAGCCTGGACATGAGTCCCTGGAACTCTGAGGAGGGACGTGTGGAGGTGAGGAGGATTCCGGGCTGCTCAGTCACGGTTGCTGGACCAGTGGTGTGGGTGCCGCACCCCGGTCAGGCCCTGAGAGGCCGGGCTGGCCTCTCCCTTCAGGCTGCAGAGGGTGAGCCAGGCCTGGGGAGGTGCAGGCCCAGCCTGGGGTCGCCCTGTGGTCCAGCCGTGCCGTGGCTGCCTGTGGCCACTGGGTTTGGTGTGAGCCTTGGCTCGGCCATTTTCTAGCCATGTGGCTTTGGGACAGTCCCGTAATCTCTCTGAGCCTCAGTTTACCCTTCCTGAGGTTTTGTGAGCATTGAATGAGAAAATGGATATGAAATGCCTGAAAATCCCTTAGTAAACTGTTGAGTAGGGTGCCTGTGAGTCAATACTTTATTCCTCCCACAGCACCCTGTGGGAAGGACTCGAGAGATTTTTCTTAGTATATATTGGATCACAGCATACCAAGGGCTTCTCTTCATATTTACAATAAAATCTAAAATCTTCACCAGGGTCCACTAGAGCCTCACCAGTTGCCCGGCTACCTCTCCCTGCCCTCACTCGTCTCTGGCCTCATTGGCCTTCTAGATCTTCCTCGAACACAGCAAGCTCATTCCTACCTCAGGGCCTTTGCACTGGCTGTACCCTCTGCTGGAATGTGTGGCTCACACTCTCATTGTATTCCAAGCTCCTCTTAACTGTCATCTCCTCAGAAAGGCCCACCTGAACTATAGGAAAACCCCCTTTCCCGCCTGGCGTGCTCCCATCCCACTACCCTGTTTTGTTCTCGTAGCCCTGACATTACATTACTTTGTGGCATGGTATTAACGGTATGTCCTACAGCACATCAAACCGTGTTACGCGATGCGGCAGAGCAGCACATGCCCACCGCCTAGATCAGAACACAAACTCCCAGGAGTGAGTCTTGCTCACTGATGGGACACAGCCAGCGCTAAGTATCTGCTGAATGAATACACAAGTGACGGCCGTGGGGGTGGCCATTCTGAGGGGATGGAGTAGTGAGTGGGCAGGTTCAGGGGCTCTGAGGACCAGTGGACCACACCAGGGGCGGGAGGAGTAGGGCAGGGTGAGCTTGGGTGGGAGGTAGAGCTGGTGACCCGAAGCCTTGAATGCCAAGGTAAGGGGACCCCGAATGCCACGTATCCAACCCCTGCACGCACAGTGGGTAGCCTGTGGCCAAGCCAGGGGACCTCAGCTCACCTGAGAGCTCAGTTTACCCGAGGGCATCTTAGCGATGGTGTACGCTTTAAGGGGTTCTCTCTGTCCCTGTCTCTCCAGGCCCCCAGCGAAGTCCCCCCGTGCCTGAGAGGAAGGCCTCCCTCTTGCACATGTCTCTCGGAGGCCCCGGTGATGTCATCTACGCAGACCTGAGGAAGACGAAGCAGGCGCGGCTAGGCCTGGGCACAGTGGTGTCCGGCAGGCACGGGCCGATCCAGCTGGCGGCCAGGCCTGCTCCCCAGGCAGCGAGGCCCGGCGGAGACTCTCAGACGGAGACCAGAATAGGCCTGAGGGCCCAGGGCCTGTCCTCTCCACAGTGAGCCCAGACCGGGGCCCTCCTGGGTCTCTCCCTTCCCGGGGTCTCCTTGAGGCCCCCAGTTCTGATGCCCTGGTATCCCCGACTGTTGCCTGGAGGCAGGGGTTTCTGAAGCTGAGCCAAGGGGCTCGGCCCTGCCCGCAGAGCAGCTCTGCGGAGACCTACGAACTGGCCAGGATGGCAGGCCGCCTACCGGAGGCCAGGGACGCGCCAGACCAGGGAGGCAGCACCTATGAGCCGATCCCAGTCTGCTGTGGGGGCCCAGCCAGGCCCCCACATCCTGGGGCCAGTCCCACATATAGCAAACCGTCGGGGCCCAAGGACTGTGGCTACGAGAGGATCTTGGGGCCCACAGGGCTCCCAGAGCCTGGGAACACTTACGAGCAGACCCCAGCAGCCAAGAGCAAGGAGCCTGCACGGACACGCAAGGTGAGCTCCGTGGGTACAGGGGGGCAGCTGCCAGCCCCTGGGGAGCACCCCGTGCTAGGAGGGGACCTGTGGCTCTCAGGCACGGGCAGGTCAGGTCACCACCACTACCCAGAAGTGCCCAGAAACTTCCAGCCCTAACATATGCCTGCAGGTGGGGGTGGTGGCAGAGGCAGCTGTTGGATCTGGGTGGAAATGGGGCTGCCAACCCTTCCAGGGCGTTCTCCGCGGCGACCAGGGCTCCCTCCCCTTCCTCTCCACACTGCAGGGGTCTCAGAGCCACCAAGACGGGGAGGGGGCCCTCAGCCCTAGTTATGGCTAAGCTGCTGCCTAGACTTGTGGCTTTGGGCAAGACAGTTTTCTCCCAGTTTCCCTGACAAGCAGGGTTGCCAGATTTAGCAAGCTAAAATATAGGACATCTAAATAATTTTGAATTTCAGATACACAAGACGGTTTTTAGTGTGTCTCAAATATTGAAATTATTCCTTGTTTATCTGAAATTCAAATTTAACTGGGCATCTATATCCTTATTTGGTACCTCAACCCAGGACCTCCACTTCCTCATCTGTAAAATGGGCCGATCACCTGGTTGTGTCCAGGGGTGGCTGCCCAGAGGGTAATGCTAGACATCCTCTCACACTCAGGACACAGCCCAGAGATGGCTGTTGGCGAACAGAGCTGTTATTTCCGAGGACTTCTGATGAGGAGGGAGAAGAGGGGATGGGGGTGGCAGACGGGGTGGTAGGGACTGGGGCTGGCCCAGGGTCCCCAGGGAGACAGAGGACCCCTGCTGAGCCCTCAGTCCCAGCCACACTCTGTCCACACCTGGAGTCGAGGAGACCGGAGAGTCCCCTCCCAGGGGGCACTGCCCATCTCGGGCACACGCAGCCCACCGCTCGAGCTCGTGGAGGGAAGGGCTTCCCAGGACGCACTGCCAGCCCCTGCCTCGGGGCTGCCCACACCCCAAGCGCAGCAGCCTCCGAGATCCCAACTGTCCTGGGACCACAGACCCGGGCAGTGGACAGTCCTAAGACCCTCGGAAGACACCTCCCACGTCTGCTCTTCCCCTGCTGCCGTCCTGGCGGTGCGACCCCACGCCCACCTGCCTCGGACGCCTGTGCGTCCCGGGGCCCCCGGCTGGGGTGGGGAGACCAGGGCGCTCCAGGAGGTGAGGTGGGCTCGTCTTTATCGTCCACCCCTTCTACGCTCCTCCTGCCCCTTCCTCTGCTCAGCCGGAAGAGGGCAAACCCTTCAGCCAAACGTGGAGGGCTGAAGGTGCAGTTTCAGGCTTGTGGGAGCGACCATCAATATTCCGGCCTGGCCTCGTTTCCCGGGCTTGGGCTCCCAACCCCGGGTCCACGATGGGCCCTGGAGCCTGGGTCTCGCCTTCCCTGTCCAGGACGCCCGGCCCCAGTGTCTTCTCCCCCCTTGCAGCCTGACAAGCCCCGGAGGCTCTTCTTCACAGACAAGAGGCACAAATTCTGAGGAGGGCCTGGCATCCGGCAGCCCACCAGTGGGCTTCCTGGCACCCAGGCCGCGGCAGGGGTTACCGCAAAGCCGGAAGGCACCCTTGGACCCTCACCCAACCAGCCTGCTGTGGAGCCAGGCTGAAATGCAGCCTGGGCGCCTGCCTGGAGGTGGCCTTCCAACCGCCTGTAGCTCCTGGCTGTGTCCCGCCTCCCTGGTGCCTCCCATCCATGCAGATAAGAAAATCAAGGCCAGAGAGGAGTGGACACTGGCTGAAGGCAGGGGTCAGCACCCCCATTTCCCAGATGAGCATGCTGAGACCCAGGCTCATTGGCTGAGCCGCCCTGAACACTCACCGAGCACGCGGAAGGCCTTGTGCTAGGACAGACATTTTCCTAACTGGCTGAGTGACATCATGCCATTGCTATTGAGAACAAAACCAGTTTCCCTCCTTGTGGCCTCATCAGCGGAAAGGAGGGTGGACCACGAGCCACATCCTCTGCTTCTGCCCCACGGAGACTGGAGAAGCCAGGATGTGGCAGCGAAGGCCCAGCCTCAGCGACGATGGCTCTGACGCTGGGGCAGGCTGGGTTCCGGGGACTGGCCCCTCAGCTCCTCTCTGCCCCTAGCCTCACTGTGCAAGCTGGGCAGATCCTCAGGGGCATCCAGCCCAGCCCCCTTATGCTGCAGAAGAGGAAACTGAGGCCCAGAGAGGAGCAGCAACTTGCCTGGGGCCACACAGCTGGTCAGGGGCTGAGCAGACACCCTCAGTGAGGCAGGCTCAGGCCAGGCTGGCTGCCTGGGGTGACCACTGGGCCACATCTGGAGCCAGCAGGTGGGGGTACGTGGTGGCCGTCCCCATGTGACCAGGTCACTCTCATCTGCCCTCTGCCTCTGGCTGGCCCTGACCTTTAGGGGCAGCTCTCAGACCCTGCCCAAGAGACCCAGCCCCAGCCTGGTGTGGCCCTGCCCAGGCCCTAGCTTTGGACGAGGGGCACTCAGGCCGCTGCTCCTGCCCCTCAGGTCACGCTGGCTCTTCCCGGTCTCCTTCCCTCAGGGCCTCCCTGTCTTCACCCACATGACCCCCGCCCACCAGGGTGAGCAATCAGCCTGCTGCCCCACTGCCCAGCACCCCCAGGCTCAGGAGGTGGAACACAGAACTGACCGTCCCAGAGAGAGCTCCACAGGCGCCTCTTCCCCGCCCGACTCCGGCAGAGCTGGCCCAGGTCACATCTGTGTGACACCTGCCCTTCACGGCCACCCAGCGATACCGCTTCTCCCTCCGAAACACGGGCCAACAAGAGTCCCTCCCTCAGGATTGCGAGGACTGAGAGCAGAGCACCAGCCCTGTGCCTGACACGTGGCCGGCACTTTGTAAGCGCTCACCTGAACCCCTGTGGTTATGGGGAAATGGAAACGATTCTCGCCCTGCGTCCTCTGCACGGCCTGCTGGAAGATCTGGGGCATGGACGTGTCCTCCTCCCAAAGACACAAGCGCCGAAATCAAAGTTAATGCCCGAAGCAAGACAGCGATGCTTAACCCCAACAGGTGACACACCCGTGGTGGGATTTCCAGGACCAGGAGCCAAGGTCCCAGTGTTGAACATTTTCTAACATTGGCAGACACGGAGAGGGTGGGGACTCGCAAGTGTTTTACTACCAGGAGTTCACAAATCTGTGGACAGCACACACCAGTGTACATTCCACGGCACTGGGGAGCGTGGGCAGGTGGCGCTCGTGACCGCAATGCAGAGGCAGGGACAGAGCCTTGTGTCCGCTGCTCACACGGCTGCACGTCGGGAAGGCGGTGGGGAGGGGGAAACAGGCGGGGTGGGGCGCAGTCCAGCCTTGAGTTGTGGGGGAGATTGCATAGCTCGTTACAACTCTGACCTTTTTTTTTTCCCACTCTGCCCTGGGTGACTGTGGTGTCTGCCTAGCACTTGGAGGAGTCAGATCCCACCACCTCCTGTTAGGTTTTCTGCGTCCCGGAGAGGACCAGGGCGTGGGGAGGCTGGGAGGGCCTGTAGAAGAGCTGTGGGTCCTGGGGCTGGACCACGGGGAGCCCTGAGAGGGGCCCTACTCCTCACACACCCCTTCCCTGGTTAGGGTTTTTTGCTGAAAGGGCCACAGGAAACGTGAACCCCAGAGGCCACAGCTCCCTTCTGGGAGAGCCTGGAGACCACAGCCACATAGACGGTGGGGCTGGATGGGTGGTGGGCTTCCAGTCCCCTGCAGCCTCCGCAGTGTCCTCAGATCCGGATGTGGAATGTGCTGGAAAGAGAGAAAGGGCAAGAGAGGGTGAGAGATCCTGGGCTGGGCAGGTGAAGGCTCCCAGGGAAAGCAAACCGGGCCCCTGGCCCAGGCCTGGACAGCCCCTTAGGGGATCCTGCACAGAGGGTGCGATTAATCAACACAGCGGGAAGGAACGCCTGGAGGAGCAGCTGTCTCCAGGGCGTCCAGCCCCCGGTCATCACCTAAGGGCCCCGTGAGATTCTGGCCCTGCGGGTGTAAGGGCCAGCCGCACATGGAGGGGAGCTGGGCCTTGAACGTGACCTGCCTGCTGGCCTACACACCACGGCTCCTGAACAGTGAGTGACAGGGCCTTGGCCCCACGGGGGTCCCACTAGGCCAGATGCCTAGCTGCAGCCCTGCCCGAGCCCGGCCCCGGGTGGTGGCACCTGAGAAAGTCAGGGGCCTTGGCAATCATGTCCTCAAAGTCCGCGAAGCCCAGCTTGCCGTCGCCATCCAGGTCGGCCTCCTCGATGACCTTGTCGCACACGAGCACCACCTCGTCCTCGTCCAGCTCCGACTTGGTGAGCTTGGCCAGGGTCAGCTCCAGGTCCTCCTTGCAGATGAAGTTGTCCGTGTTGAAGTCTGTGGGGCGGGAGGTTGGGCGTGTTCAAGCTGGTGCTGGATCCACCCGGGGAGGCGAAGGGTCCCACCCTACGTCACCTCTTCCCCCCAGCTGGTCACGTGGACATGTCCACCAGCCTCGGACACCCCCGGAGCATCTCTGTGCACACTCTGGGGATACTGGATCCTTGTCCCCAGCTGACAGGGACCACGTAGGCTTGCCCACAGGCACAGCTTAAATACCCACATTCACAGCACCCACAAAACCCACAATGACTCTGTGCTTATCACAACATCCCGAAACAGTTCAAATAGTCCAGGGCTGAGGCTCCCTGGGAACTCTGGGCTCAGGTCAAACGGCCCTTCTGGCCTTAACCCACAGTGGACCCCGTGTTCCCTCTAGACATGCAGAGCTAAAGGAACCGAGGCCCAGAGGGCCATGTGATTGAATCGAGGTGCGGGGACTCTGGTTAGGGCCTATTTGACGCTAAGACCTGCACCTTCTGAGCCGCACCACGGTGCCTCAAGCAGGCTCTGAGTCAGACACGACAGGGCGGGAGGCTCAGAAGCCCTTAGAGAGAGACCCCAGGGGCGCCTTTGTGCATCGGAGCAGGAAACACGGTTTGACTCCGCTTGGCAAAAGGTACCACTGCCCCGAAGCAGAGCAGAATGGCTCAGAGCACTGAGCACGTGTACGTGGTCTCGTGCTGGCGAACTCTAACTCTCCTCTTACCGCTTTCAACCCCACCACCAGAGGTCTGCGTGTGCTGTTTCTTCCACCTGCGGAGCCCTTCCCAGCAAACCCCTGGTCACCCTTTAAGTCTCAGCTCAAACGTCACTTCCCGGTAGGGGGGCTTTCTAGATATAAGGGTCCCCCGCACTGAGCTCCTCCTGCCCACTAGGCAAACTCTGACATAACCTAGTGGTAAAGACCATAGCTGTCAATGTGAACACTGCGTGCTTTTTCTCATTTAAATGTCAAAACAAGCCTATCAGGTAGGTGCAGCCACAATTCCCACTATACACGGGGAGGAACAGAGGTGGCAAGGACAAGGAACCTGCCTGAGGTAGCAGCCCTGGGCAATGTTGGACGCTAGAGCCCAAGCTCTTGGCCTTATGCCATCCACCTCTGCACTCGCCTGTGAATGACTCCGGGTAGGCGCCAGGTGGGACTGGTCTCTGCCCATGGAGTGGGACCCAGTGGGCGCCCCAGAAAGATGTGCTGGCTGGGTTCCTCAGACCATTTATATGAGGAAGCTGACACCCAGAGGGGGTGATCCTTGCTGCAGATGAAACCCCAAGGCCCAGGGCAGGAAGGGAGCCACAATTCTCCCTTCTCGTGTCCGGAGCCTGCCCAGTTCACGTGCTCTGAAACTCCCCCTCACACAGACAACAGCCCTCCCCAGGAGCAACGCCAGAGTCTGAGCCTGGTGGGTGCGGGGTGGAATTTGAGCAGCTTTTCACGTGAACCACATGGGCATAGTTTGCGGAGGGCAGACGGGCAGGTACTGTCTTTCTGATACGCAAGCACAGCCGTAAACCAGAGTCCTTGGAAATCCACGTGACACCTAGAGAAGGCAAAGGCCCCCACAGGCCTTGCTGCCTGGGGACCCGCCGGCTGATGGAAGGTGCTGGGGATGGGAGGCTTGCCCTCGACTCCTCTCGTCCAGAATGGGTCCCGGCCCTCTCCTGGGCCTCAGTGTCCCCATTCGGGGACCGTCTGAGGATCTGACACCGGCGCCTGGGGCCTGTCAGACCAGCACAGTGGGTGAGCTCTGAGGTTGTGACGTCACAATTCCCGGTTCACGAGCGCCTGCTCCCTCTGGTGGCAGCTGAGGCGGTGGGACCAGGGGCCGGGCCGGGGAAACAAGGCGGCCCTGCCTCTGGCAGCGCTGGGGACCTGGGGAGCCGGCCTCCCAGCCCACCTGCCCGCCCAGCTGGCCATCTTGCCCGCATGCTCCTCTCTGTCTCCTGCATTTCACACCTCAAAGCTACCGAGGGGTCTTTCCACAACACAGCGCCGCCCTTCCCCACCTGAAACCCTGCAGTGGCCCCTGGCACCCCGTGCACAGGTCCAGACTCTCTGGTGGGCTCCTCACAGCCTGGCCCTGCCCAGACTCACACGGCCCTGCCCTGCCGCGTCCAGACCTCTCCCATCCTCAGGCCGGCGCTCCCTCACCTCCCTGTCTCCATGGGCCCCGCCCCTGCCTGGTCTGCCCCCCCAACATCTCCAATGCACAAGCCTCCACCGGTCCCCCAGGCCCTGCCCAAATGTCGCTGCCTGTGGATCCTCTCACGCTGGCCACCCCCCCGGGGCGGGTGCGTCTCTCCCTCCTCTGCCCTCAGGGCCCCGCAGACGTTTCTCAGGACAGATCGGCTTGTCCTGTGTCCCCAGCGTTCCCCAGGGCGGGGAAGCAGCGTAACCGGATGGCCCTACGGACCGACACCCTCAGCATCGTGCCCCGCCCCCGCCCGTTACCGTAGATCTTGAAGGCGTAGTTCGCTTTGAGCTCCCGCGGGGCCGACTCACACAGCACAGAAAACATGTCCACAAAGTCGTTGAAGGTGAGGTTTCCCTCGCCATCCTCAGAAAAGGCCTCCACGATCCTCTCTTTGAACGGATTCTCCTGAAGAAACAATCACAGCAATCACCACGGGTGGAGGGCACACAGGAGGACCCCAGAGCCAGGCTGCTACAGCTCACGTGACCTTGGACGAGTGGCCTAATCCCTCTGAGCCTCTGTTTCCCCATCTGTGAAATGGGAGTAACAGCACCTGCTTAACTGGGCTGTGAGAGGACTGAATGAGTCACGGTACGGAAGGCGCCGGCACACGCGAGAGCTCAGCACGTGCTCTGTGGGGTCCCGTCGGCACGTCAAGGTGAGCGCAGCCAGTGCACCGCCTCATCTAGGCAGGAGCGTGGAAGGTCCCACTGCCCAGAGGGGCCCACAGAGGCGCTGCCTCGATGTGCAGGGCTCTGTCCCCAACAAGAAGAGACAACAGCCCAAGGCCTAGGCAACCCTCAGCTCAGGTCGTGTCAGGCCAGGATTGTGGCAGGCGGAGGTAGGGCCCCAAAGGCGGGAGAACTGGGCTAAGACAGATGGCAAGAGCCGTCCAGGCACCAGGCCTGCCATCGTCCTGCTCCTACGAATCCCCCGATTCTCCTAGAACGCCTTGGGTGCTGCCTCCCACCGACTCTCCCCTCTGGCCCCACATCACTGGGCCCACTTCTCCCGCAGTCCCCTCACCCCGGCCGACTAGCGCTTGGCCAGCCCCCTTCCGGCCCAGTCCAGGCCAGCACAGGAGACTCAGAGACAAACCACGTGGCTCCTGCCCAGGAGGGCCTCACGCCCTCCGGCGACCCTCTGAGCCTGGTCTCGAGCCTGGTCTCTGCAGGCCAGGCTGGCTGCTTGTCCATGGCTGACAAGATCTTCGGGGGATTCATGTGTATGCGGCAGTCTGAGAAGCAATGCTATCAACGCTGACCTCGGTTAGAAGCCATGGCCAGACAAGAGGGAGACAGGAAAATCACCTGAGAAGGTGGAGACAGGTCTGCCGAGGACAGCAGGTTGAGGCCACTTACAAGGACAAGCAGGAGAGCGTGGGCCAGCAGCTGGGCAGAGGGGCACTGATGTACCACACCCTTACTGAGCCCCACCCACGCAGCTCATTTATTCATAGAGTGCAGATGAGGAAACTGAGGCACAGAGAGGTTCAATGATCTGCTCAGGGTGGGACGGCCACAAAGGGTGGAGCCAGGTTCAGCCCAGACCCAGGAGCCTCTGCTACTCGTCCAGAGGTGCCAATCCCCTGGCCCCTGGCCCCCGGCCACCTGCCCACAGCAGAGGCTGCCCACGCACCCGAAGCTCCGGCATCTGGATGATGAGGCTCATCGGCACGTGGACAATAGGGCTCTTCCGGTAGTCCATTGGGACGAGGTTGGGGGCCAGCTCGTAGAACCGTGCGTGGAGCCTTCAAGGCAAGCAGAGGAAAAGCACTGGAAGGGCACCACCCCCGAGCCCCGGCAGGCCGATGCCATCCTGCCTGGGCCTCGGCCTCTGCAGACCCACCTCAGCCGGGGCCAGGTGAGGGCCCATGGGAAGCCATCTGCTCTGCCCCCGGGGTGGGTCTTGGGAGGGCTGCGGGCTCTGCCCACAACCCTGTGCTGATGACCTGATTGTGTCCAGGCCCTCCCTTGTCCACCACACACACACGTACACACTACCACCCTCCTCTGTGCCCACCCCTGGGGCCTGCACTCAGATCACTTTATTTTTGTCCCTTTGGGCTCTCGGCGGGTCTTTCATGCTCCAGGCACTGTGCTCAGCACCCTATTTAGTCCTCTCCCATCCCCATGCAGAGAGAAGCCTCAGGACCCCTGTTCACAGCTCAGCAAACTGCGGCTGAAGAGATCACGAGTCACACGCCAGGAAGTGCTGAGGGCCACGGCTGGAGCCAGGCCTGGCAGTGCAGAGCAGAAACTCTTAGCCACCCTCCTCTCCCACTCCTGAGGTCCGTCAAAGCCTGGCCCCACCACCCCTAACTTAGGCCGGGGGCTGGGCCTCTGGAAGTGCTCTCAGCAGCCCTCACGTCCTCGGGAAGCCCCCGTGAACAGGCCACCCACACCTCTCTCTAGCTGGAGGCCATGGGGAGGGACCCAGCCTGCTGCCTGGGCCTGGTCCTCCTCGCTGCTGGGTCAGGTCCCCAGCTCCTGTCCCGTCCTCCTGACACAGGCCCGTCTCAACGCGCTGCAGGACCCTCAAGGGTGTGAGGCATCCTGATGTCTCATTTGGAAGCCCCCTCCCCCTCCATTAATCAGTCCCCCTTTGTCCTGTGTCCCCATGTCCAGGTCCTGCCATCCCAGAGACTAGCCCTCCCTCCCAAGACAGGCTCACAGTGTGTCAGATGAAACTGTGTCCAAAAAGTGCTGCCAGAGGAGGGGCACAAGTGCAAGGGGCCAGGGGTCAGGGCAGGTTAGCTGCCTGAGGTGAGGCCCAGGATGCTCGGGACTGGGTCGCGGGATGACCCCGCATCTTCTGGGCCCGGGCCTGCCCTCCTACCCGCAAAGCCAGCATCTTCTTCTAAGTGGCCAGACCCAGTGACACAGCCCCACACTCAACAAGCCCTTCAGTACGGCCACCAAGCCTCCTTCAGGTCCCACGCATTCCCGGGGTCCTGCTGCCCAGCCCTCCCTAGCAGGGCACTTGACTACTTACCCAGCTCACACAGGCACCACCACCAGCACCTGTTTGGCAAGAGCTCACTCCGTGCCAGGCTCTGGGTTAATGCTCCGTGTGGATTCCTTTACTCACTTTAATCCCCAAACCACTCTGAGAGGTAGATACTAGTCTCCCATTTTTCAGGTGAGGAAACTGAGGCTCAAGGGTTAAGTGCCTGCCCCAGCTTACATAGCCAGTGAGTGGTGGGGACAGGACTTGAACCCAGGGCCTCGGGATTCTAACTGCTTGGCTCTTCCCTACAGGTCCAGCCCCCCTGGTGAGCATATCATCGCCGGATTCAGAGCCCGTCCAGGGCAAGTGAAAAGCAAAATGCCACAGGCCCACTTTCCCAGTCACACATCCCTGTAAAAGGCCTGAAATCACACGGAAGCACCATGGCTTGGAGACACAGATAGAGGGAAAAATGCCCAAATTTGTCTTCTGGATAGGAGGGATCAGCAAATGTCAGGATGGCAGGATCAAGCTGGGTCTGTTCGCAAGAGGGCGCTCGGGGACTTTCTTTGCTCCTATTTCCTGTGTCGAGGAAAAATTTGCCCTTTTTTACACTTGCTCTAAATACGGAACCATGACTTATGTTTCACAATTCATGCATCTGGTTACATGTACTTTTGACAGATCCACTGGGTTTCCAACTGCTGCATTTCCCAGTAACCTTGACCCCCACCCCACCTGTTGGGTGTGAAGTTGGGGTGCTTCTGGGGTTCGCTTGTACCTCCAAAGTTGTATGGTGTGGCTGCAGCAGGAGCCTGAGGTCAGGCTGAGGTTGGAGCCTTGCCTACACCTCTCACTAGCAGTGTGGCCTTGGGTAACTGGGTTAACCCACTGGAGAGTAAACTTCCCTATCAGCAATGTGGGGACTATCCTATTTACTGTTCTTACACTTGTGAGGATTAAATAGGATGCTGTTAACAAAACCACCTGGCCTTCAGCTGGTAGCTTTTGGCATGCCGCCTACCACGGCAGGGGCTCCCCGGTATGGATGCACTTGGGAGAGGGGCTGAGGGTGGCTGGCTGAGTTGAAGAGGTGTCTCCTGGGGGGCAGGGAGGGGAAGGACAGCTTCTGCCTTGGTACACAGATCTGTTCTGAAATGATGGCTAAAGTGATGGATTTTTTTTTTAAGGAAAATAATCGAAGGAGAATTTAAAAACTCAAATCGCCATGGGGAGAAACTCTAAAAATTGTCAAAGAACTACATCTTTGTCACCCCTCCTCACAATCAAGATTTATATTTTAGTTTTAACATCCAGGATCAGAGATAATACTCATGCTACTTGCACTGCTCCAGAGTACGGGGCAAAAAAAAAAACGTAAAAGCCTCCAAGTTTATTTTAGAAAGCTGCTACTTAGGTTGATGCAAAAGTTACTGCAGCGTCAGCATTGTTGAAATTTGCCGTTTGATACTGGAACACATTCTTAAATAAATGTGGGTATGTCATACATCATTTCAATGTGCATTTCTCACTATTTTTTTTTGCTAATGACTTATCACTTGCCGTTTATTTTCTATGTGTTTTACACTATGGAAATGATGTTAGACAAAAAGAAAATTCGAGCAACTTTCTTATTCAAGTTCAAAATGGATCATAAAGCAGCGAACACAACTCGCAACATCAACTAAGCATTTGGCCCAGGAACTGCTAGCGAACGTACAGTGCAGTGGTGGTTCAAGAAGTTTTGCAAAGGAGACGAGAGCCTTGAAGATGAGGAGCGCAGTGGCTGGCCAGCGGAAGTTGACAACAACCGAGAGCGATCATTGAAGCTAATCCTCTTACAACTACATGAGACGTTGCCGAAAAACTCAACTGTATGGAAGATTAATAAAACAAAAGTTTGGTTCTTTGAAAAAATAAACAAAATTGACCTGTCTCTTGCTAGATTAAGGAGAATCAAAAAAGAAAGGACTCTAATAAGCTCCAAGAAAAAGGAGAAATTACAACTGATACCACGGAAATACAAAATATCATCTATGAATACTATAAAAACCTCTGTGCACAGAAACTTGAAAATGTGGAGGAAACAGACAAATTCTTAGAAACATACAGCCTCCCTCGACTCAATCAGGAAGAAATAGAATTTCCTGAACAGACCGATATCAAGTACCGAAACTGAAGCAGCAATAAAAAACTTTCCTAAAAAGAAAAGTCCTGATCCAGATGGTTTCACACCCGAATTTTACCAGACCTACAGAGAAGAACTGGTGCCTATCTTGCAGAAATTATTCTACAACATTGAGAGGGAAGAAATCCTCCCCAACACGTTTTATGAAGCCAGTATCACCCTGATACCAAAACCAGGAAAGGACGTAACAAAAAAAGGAAACTACAGATCAATATCCCTTATGAATATAGATCCAAATATTCTCAACAAAATCCTAGCAAACCGAATTCGGGTGTGTATCAAAAACATAATCCCTCATGACCAAATGGGCTTCATCCCAGAGATTCAGGGATGGTTCAACATATGCAAATCTATAAATGTAATTCACCACATGAATAGAAGTAAAAACAAAGACCATATGATCCTCTCAATAGACATAGAAAAAGCATTCAACAAAATTCAGCACCCTTTTATGATAAAAATGCTTAAAAAAATAGGCATAGATGGGATTTACCAAAAAATGATTAAAGCCATATATGACAAACCCACAGCCAACATCATACTGAATGGAGAAAAACTGAAAGCATTGCCGCTTAGAACTAGAACCAGACAAGGTTGCCCTCTATCACCACTTCTATTTAACATAGTGCTGGAAGTCCTAGCTAGAGCAATCAGACAAGAGAAGGAAATCGAGGGCATCCAAATGGGGGCAAAAGGGGTCAAACTATAGCTCTTTGCTGACGATATGATCTTATATCTAGAAAACTCCAAAGATTCTGCCATGAGACTACTGGAATTGATAAACAAATTCAGCAACATCTCAGGTTACAAAATCAATGTACAGAAATCAGTAGCATTCCTATATGCCAACAACAGTCAAACTGAAAACCAAATCAAAGACTCAATACCCTTCACAATAGCAACAAAGAAAATAAAATACCTAGGAATATATTTGACTAAGGAGGTGAAAGAACTCTACGGGGAAAACTACGAAACACTGAGGAAGGAAACAGCAAAGGACATAAACAGGTGGAAAACTATACCATACTCATGGGTTGGCAGAATCAACATTGTTAAAATGTCTAT